CTTTCAATACAAAACCTGTTCTTGGATGTAGGGGTATTTGTCTCTTCTCACACTCAAAATTTGCATTCTTCAGATATATTATTCAGATGTCACTGCACCCATCAGCGAAGGGACATCTGAACTTCCTTCTATCATCAGCCTCAAAATGTGTGGTGTACATTTTATCTGCTCCGTTGCCACAGCACTGAATAGTATAGGCAGAAGACCAGACATGCACTCTTTTTTTTTCTTTTATTGTGGGTGCAAGACACCTCAGGAGAGGTTGATTCTTTCTCTAGAAACCAGAGTTCCCTTTCTCCATGAACTTTCTGATATGTTTCTCTGTAAGACTCAGAAGCCGGTTGCTGTCTCATGGCCTTCCTTGCCCTTTATGGTACTGCTGCCCTTAGTTAAAAAAAGAGAAAAAGCAGGAAGTTTGAGAGCAATGATGCATTGCAATAGCTAAACTGACTTGGCTACCAGTTCCCTTCTTTTGCTTTAGGTGACTATAAGCTCCTTTACCCTATTTAGCCCTCAGAGCCAGAAAAATCACCTTTTGCACCCTTGTAGTAAAACTGCACTTCAGAGGGATAGCCATATTAAGTATCATGTTTCCCTGAAATAAGTCAGGGTCTTATATTAAATTTTGCTCCAAAAACCACATTAGGGCTTATTTTCAGGGGATGTTTTATCTTACAGTCATGTCATCTTCTGGTGGCCGCACAATGCCGCCCAAGGGTGGAGAGCAGGGGTTTCACTTAACTAGGGCTTATTTTTGGGGTAGGGCTTATATTTTGAGCATCCTGAAAAATCATACTAGGGCTTATTTTCAGGTTAGGTCTTATTTTCGGGGAAACAGGGTATGTTCCAGCAAGAAAACAAAAGCCATGTGGTTCCTTAAAAAGATGATAGCTTCATGTAGCATAAACCTTTGTGGAGCACACCCCACTTCTCTGGATGTCACCTAAAAAACCTGTGCTACTTATAGTCCACCAAACCTTTAAGACAAATAAAACAGTGAGTCTGTTGCTGAACCAAGGAATCCACATCTCCTTGTCCCACTTTGGGCTGCCAACCTGCTTCTCCTTCATGGGACACAGGAATTCCTTCTCTTCCTCCTCCCCCTCCTGTGCCCCACCACCTGCCACCTCTTTTCCTTCTCTCCTCTCGTCTTCTCCTCTCCTCTCCCATCTTCAGCTTCCCTTGCTATGCATTCTTTTTTTAGGAGGAATATTCAACTACTTCAGTTCCTACTTCTCCACCACTTCTATGGTCTGTGAGATTCAGGCCTTGGAGGGTTTCCTACAGCACCTGGGTAGTCAGGTGGAAACAACAGTGAGCTGGAGGTGACTGAGAGGGAATTTGGAGAGAGAGGGCAAACCCCTCCAAATGACATGTCTGTATTATCAACAAATGTCCCTTATTGCCGGGTAACTGTCTGTGGTTTTCTTATACTACAAGCTAAGCACTGTTCCTCCAAGGAGTCTCAAAACAAGCCATGATCTGTCCCTGGCCAACTGCTGATAATGCAGAAGTGAAAGGGGGGGGGCGACACAAAGCCCTCTGACTCACTCAGGGTGAAAAGGGTCTGTGCTGCTGCTGCTGGCTCCAGCATAAAGCTTCTCTGTTAGCAAAACTGGTTCTGTCATGGGCTGGCAGCGAGGGAAGGCAGAAAGCAAGACACACCCTTTCCTCTTTTTATCCCTTCTGGAGAGCGTAAACAGCAGATGAAGAAAGCAGTGGGCAAAGGGGGAAACGCCAAGCCTTTGTTCAGACCAGAAATATATATATATCTGAACTCAGCAGGTCCAGCTGGAGAGATGCTGATAGGCAGTCTGGAATCCTAAGCCAACGCAGGACCTCCCTGTATAAAAAGTGGAATGGACTGTCAGTTTGAGGCCAGTCTCAACCATGGCAATGGGAAGACATCCTTCAACTTCACAGGTCAGCTGTGGAGGCAAAGCAAAGCAGGGTAGCCTGAGAGGGTGCAGAGGAGGCCACGGGGCACCCAACTCTCTCCTTTAAAATATCTGTTTTCACCTCCCAGCATCTGTTTTCTGAGGTGATGGCCTCTCTCTCTGCCTAACTACTGGAATGCTCTTTCCACGGCCAGGAGGACTTAAGATGTTATCAGTGGAAAGATTCTTCCTGCCACCCATCATATCAGGCCACAGTTACCAGAAGAGGTAGCCAAAGTGCACAGTATGCAGAGGCTGACATGATTTTAGCCGTAGGGGGGAAAAGGGAGCTCCCTATTAGAGGTATGAGTCTTGCGGCTTCTCATTCTCAGAGGGGAATATGCACGCCTCCTGCATGAGGTCCCTCTGCCCTCCCACCCCAAGAAATCTCACAGGATTTCTCAGACGTTTCATAGTCTCTTTTATTTGCTGAAAGAAAAGACAAACTGCATAGGGATCATTGAAATACCTGTGCAGGATGGCATTTTTTTTTTTTGCACAGGATGCACTTGAAATGGGTGGTAGAAAGCACCAAGCTGTGCAGAATAGTTGCTAATTTTGCGCAGAATGTGGCAATTTCCTCTTCAGAACAATGTGTTAAAAGTGGAGGTGGTGGTGGAGAAGGGAATCAGTGGTTCAAATTCAAAGAAAACACATCCTGATTTCTATGCCTGGTTTCATATCCTACTTAGCAGACTGAGATTAGTTGTCAGTTCCCCAGTTTGGGCACTGTGAGACTCCAGTTACTGTAGATTAACCAGGCTAGAAGTGCCAAAGCAAGGAATGAGGAGAAGGGGGAAGGGTTGAGCCCAACACTCCTTCTGGGCTTGATAAACCTTTCCTTATTCAGGTAGTTTGTTTCATGGAAACTAGCACATTCGAAGGAAAGAGAGTTCATTCTCTAAATGGCGTTTCTTCTGCAGTTTGTGGAGAAGTATGTCTGAAAATGATGGCCACTGATCAGTGAAAGGATTTTTGGCTCCATAAACACCTGCATTTGTTTTTTTTTAAAAAAGGGTCATATTTAACCAAATTGCACTTTATCCAAAATCTCAGTACAGCTGTCTTAACTAGTCTTTGTTAAATTCTTACATACCACTCACTGCTAATAGACAAGATCAGCTTCCTTTTCTTTTTCCCTTGTATTTTTATTCCAGTCCTAAAACGGCTTGCTGATTTTTTTTCTACTTGTAAGAAAAAGCTTTTATTAGTTGCATCAATTACTTCTTAAATCAATTGCTTATTTTTGAACTATACCTGGAAAGAGTAATATTCAAATGAGGTCCCTCTATCTGGACACAAAAGAAGTGAAAAGCTGTCAGTAGTTCTAAAAGCAAGGATGGCACCAAATGCTCACAGAACCGAATGTCAGAAATATGTACAATGGCACAGTCTCTTTCTCATGTCAAGTCTGCGATGAACCAACCCACCCACCGACCCCACACACACAGCAACACTGTGCTGAAAAAGCCAACTCTGCTGGGCATGCTGCTTTTCACAACTCAAACAGCCACCTGCAGGTTGACTTCATCTAAGTGATGTAGTCAGTGAGTATCCATGAGGCATGTTATTCAATGATGCAATGCCCAGGCTGTGCCAGGCTGCCTCTCTCCCAAAGACCTGGCATTCTTCACAATGGAGAGAAAAAAAGGGGAGATGGGGAAGAGAAAAATTTAAAACTAGTGTGCAACTGATAGAACATTATTTATTGAATCAACCAATCCCTCTATTGGTCAATGTGTCTAATGGATGAAGATCTGTCTTTCAATTCTGTATCTTGCTCGTACATCCTGTTGGGTCAGGAGATCAGTACCTGAGATCATCTTTTTTCTCCTCCTTAAAGACTGCTGACCATCCATTTACTTTTCTGTGAAGAGGGACTGGTGTGTGAGGCCTAAAGATCAGTCAGCGCATGGAGCATGTGCTGTGAGGGGAACTGCTTTCACATCATGACATTTTTACTTTACCAACGTATATCTTGCTTTTCTTTGCAGGGAGCTCAAGGCAGAATACCAAATGAATCCTAAAATTGTCTCTCAGAGCTGTTGTTATGTCCGTGGATTTTCTTCAATCTTTTTTCCGTAGCCTTGTTTCTGACACATTCGTCTTTGTTACTTTATGTGTTTATCTTTGTGGCTGCTCATAATTCTTTTAGCTTGGTTAACTGCATTTTATTGTATTTTTGTTTTGGATGTTAAGTGTGCCACCTGACAGTTTTAGTGACATGGTGACTCACAAGGTGAATGTCCTCCTGCCCCCAGCCCCATCCCAGATTACAGCTACCATCAACCCCCACAGCATTAGTTATGCTCCTTAGGGCTAATGGAAATGGCCGCCCAATATCAACAGAAGATTTCAACAGGCTTCTGTAGCTCTTCAGCCACAAGTTGCCCATCCTGACTCTGATACTATTAAGCAGTGCCAGTTCCAATTTTAGTGGCATGTGGCAATGAGAGAGACAGTAAAGAACTCTCTCCCAAGAGATTCATTCCTTAAACGAGTACATACAGGACTCCTTTATGATAACAGGAAACTTGGAAAGGTATACTTTAAAAGCTGAAAATAAATGAACTAATTGCTGGCAGGGGGTGGTGGTAAAACATTCCAGAACAAATGTGACTTGAAGACATCCTGACAGCAAAAATAAGACTAATAAGGAATCCAATAAAATGCCTGTTTTTCAGAGAACATAATCCCCAATTCACTATTGGGCGGAAAAAACAGGTTCAGCCATATCAAGATGCAATTAAGAGTTTAAGTCAAAAGCCTTTATTCTATATGTACATCCAGGTGCAAATAACATAATTTCTGCTCTAATTCACATATCCAGCACACTCCACAACACAAATTCATCTGATGCCAATGTGGAATATGTGCTCTTACTGGTTTTGATATCTATTAAGCCATAGATCAGATACATTAACTTCCAGAGAATTTACCACAAGAAGTCTGTTGTCCTTTATAGCTCTAAATTACTCTTCCAACTACAGATTGTTGGGACTAAACTGAAAGGCAGGCTTTCAACTCATAATCACAGAGACACCATTTATTTGTGCCACTTACTTGGGCTTGTTGGGTCGCCAAGTCTTCGGAGTCTCCCACTGGAGGTCCTTGAGATTCCTAGAGCATAGAGAAAATGGGTGTCAAGAAGAGGTAGGACTCAGAAGATAGCAAGTGATACAATTTCAGAAGAGTTTGCTTTCACAAAGGCCATCAGACCAGATACGTTTGCCATGCTATCCAACCTATCATGCTATTAATCAAATGAAGATATCTAGAGGTGTCAAACATCTTGCTCTGGGTGCGAGTGAGGATTCCAAAATAAAACACTGAAACATAGATCCTAATACTGTAATTCCAGTATGTGGAAAAATAGAAGACTGGGATTACCTCAAAGAAGCAATGACTTCAGGAAGCAAATGGTCCAGCTTTTCCCAACCTTGTGCCCTTCACAGGTGCTAGACTATAACTCCCCCCATTTCTAGTGGTCAACTGGAGGGCATCAGGTTGGGAACCTGTAGAACAATATATTCAGAGGACACAAGGTTAAGAACTCCAGTATCAAATCCCAGGACAAGTCCAGATGGGCCCTTGACCTGCTCTATCTCCCCTATTCCTCACCAATCATTTTTATATTTTCTTCAGTGACCAAACATTATTGCTAATCTCATGTACATCCAATCTTTCTGTGTGATTATTTAATTCATTTTGTTCAGCCATCTGTGCTCCTTTTTGTTGCTGTTATCATAGTTCCTCTCACACGTTTTCTGGCTTGGATTGTAATTGCTGAGAATGTCTTGAGAGCATAGATCAAAACGTATATACTGAGGTACAGCATGGAATTTCCTCTTCCCAACAAATGGTGTTCAGTACAACTAAAATAACTAAAATAATTTTGCTTTTTTTTAAAGACTCTTGATCTCCAGGTCCTTGGCAGCAATTGAACAAGTTACTATACTGACATCTTGATAAACCATGTATTGGTTATTAAAAACCTTTTAAAGGACTTTGAATCAATAGCTGTATCCAATGGAAGCATGAAATACACATAAAACAAAAAAGATTGGGAAACCATGTTTTGGAAAATTTTGTGATTCATTGTTTTATTTGTAACTAAACAGGTTTTGCATTATGCTGAGATCTTGCTAAACAAATCGAGCCCTGCAATGTCCTTTTTAAAAAAAACTCCTTTAATTTTGTTTTAAAGACTGTATGTAGAGCTGATGGAATTGAATAGAATGGAAGCAGGTAGATTAAAATTGATGGGTTTTTTAAAATTAAAAATTGTACAGTGGGGTCTTGACTTAAGAACGGCTTGAGTTAAGAACATTTTGCCTTAAGAACCACTCTCATAGGAAAATATTGACTTGACTTACATACTTAGATTTGAGTTAAGAACTAAAAAAACCCACGTGGGAGGCAGAGAAAGTGCAAAATGTGAACTTTCAGTTAACTGTTGGCCAGTGAAAAGGGTGCCTGTCTGCTTCCTCACTCCTCCCAGCGTTTAGAGAGTGGATTGGGAGATAGTCTTCAGACTACCTGGTACTGTACTGCCTGGACTGTCTTTTCCCTGCCTTCCCTGAACCTTTCTTGACCTAAGAAAAAAAGAAAGAAAATATCCCCCTCTAGTGGTCGAAGGCGGAATAGCAGCTTCCCATTAGTTTCTATGGACGGAAAAGAGCAGATACGGATCAAATGGTTCTCAATGCATTCCTATGGGAAATGCAGATTTGACCTGAGAACTTTTTGACTTGAGAACCGCCTTCCAACACGGATTAAGTTCTCAAGTCAAGACCCCACTGCATTTTAAAATGTAAAGCTGATTTTTAAAATTTAAATCAAATTTATTTTAATGAAATGCTTTTGGAGGAAAATCTATCTAAAGATAGTTTTCTATAAAATAGAACTTTAATTATTCATGTAATATTTACATTTAATCTGAGATAACATGTACTTTTTCACGGGAAAAACAGTCAAAAATGAACAAAGTTCAGGAAAAGACCTTAATCCCATTGTTGTTCTACAAATCTATGTAGAAACAATGAACACATGAATGCTTAAGCAAATACAATGATATGTATGCTATATAATGTTATTGTTTTAGTTAAATAAAGTAATTTAATTAGTTCTCCAAATATGAGTGATTAATCTATTAAATTAAAATCTGTTCGGATATAGCTGTTTTACTGATCTGACAAGTTATTATTCTAAATATGAAATCTTACTCTGGTTGCAAATATTACAGATTATAACTACCAGCAAGAATGAGTCTTTACTCATTCTTGAAATCATGATTTTAATCAAATCTCACTGGCTAATCATTTAAATCATTATTGATTTGATTTAAATTAAATCTACCCTGAATGGAAACATGAGATACATATAGAATGGGGGGGGGAGTCTGGTAAATTCCTGTTTCCAAAACTGTGGTTTTACATTAAATGATTGTCCCAATTCACAAAGTAAACAAGTTTTGCATGGACCTGATCTGTGGTCATCTCAGCACTATACTGATCATTGATTTTTTTAAGAAGGATATTGAATCAATTGTTATTTACAACAGTAGCATGAAATAAACATACAGCCATCCCCCCTCAATAAATTCATGTTTGTAAAACATGCAGTTGTTGTCCACCTACAGGGCAGGCCAGGCCGCAAGAGAGTCAGAACAAGATACAAAAGGGAGAAATAAAGGGAGGAGAAAAGGGTGGTGATATTGCCAAAAGAGAAAAACGTATAAGTAGGGACAAGAGGAGAAATGTTGCTAATATCACCCACTGTTGAAATGCAGCCTCCTCGGCTAAACAGAAACAATAGACCTGAAAATTGTTCAGCTGGAATGATTTGCAACTATGAGGTATAGGAAGCTTGCATGAAAGTGCAACAGTTACCCTGTCAGGCCATACCCAGTGTTACTGCAGTTTCCTAAAGATGAAATTGCCACTGTATCTACAGATTTATAGAAAAATTCTTGGGGAATCCACACACACACACCTTCCCCCCCCCACCCCAGAAGGCCTCCTGTGTGTGTTGAGAAGCTCACAAACTGAAATAATTGCTTGTCCAGATAAATTTTACCTGCTAATCTTTAACAATTTTATAGAGAAATATTTTAAATGAAAAAAACAATAGGCATTAAGTGTACATCTCCCTTGACAGAAGAAGAAAAAATGAAGTTATATAATGTTACTGGCAAGCCTCTTGCAACTTATCTCAGACCTGTAAGGCAGGAGGTCCCTTGGATTATCATTGTTGCCAGCTGTCAAATATTCCAGGGATAGCTCACAAATGCAATTTATCTGTCATGCTATATAATCCCTGGCAAATGCATCTGTCCCTGAACTTTGAAAAGGGCAATCTCATCTGAATGCTGTTGCTTCATCACTCCAAGTTATGTACAGTCGAGATAGAGGGAACCCACAAATTAGCTAAAGTTGATAGTAATTCCAGCTGGTAGTTCAACTTGGAAAAAGTGACTCACACACTGCAAATGTTTCTGTGAATTTCTTCCACATCCTCCAATTATGATTATGATGACTCTTAAAATGGTAAATTAACGAAATATTTCTGGGCCCATTACAAAGTGCTGGTCATGACCTACAAAGTCCTCTACGGCCTGTGATCAGGCTCTCTGAAGGACCACAGCACCTTATATAGATTATCCAAGCTTCTAAGTACTTCTGGGGAGGTTCCTCTCTTGTTCTCACTGTCCATTTTCTCCTGCTACTACTTAGCTGCCCTGCACATTTGCAAAAGACATTCAAAATTTTTGGAAGTCCTAGATTTTGAAAGCACATCTGGAGGACCTTGCACCATGTTCTACATCCTGGGGAGGTGTGTGAACAAGCTCTGCTTGTAGAGGCTGAAAGGCCATCAGTTCTGTTGGACAAGCACGGCCACCCCCTTAATGAAATGGCCCAACAAGGAGGATGAAAAGCCAAAAGTATTCCTGAAGGCTGTAGCTTTCCCACCTCTACTCTGAGCTGAAATGGAAGAGCAGAAAAACTGAAATAGAATCATCCAAGAACATTCCGCAGCATGACTATATCTCCCCTCTATACAAAATTATAGTGTTACGGATAGTTAGCCGATTTGTGGCTGAACAGTATTCCTTGAGACTTTAAGACATATGGTTTGGCAAGCCTCGTCCTATTTTCCACAATTCAACACTGATAACTGACCCCTTTTTCCTGGGTAATTTTATTTGAATCCAAGCATTTAATACGCTAATCAAGTCCTTTCAGTTTGGCTCTCAATAACTCCAGCCCATTATGATCCATCCCCCAACTCCATTTTGCCCTAGTCACTTCAGGCAAGAATTAAACTTAAGAACAGAGTGAAAAGGAATACAAATCCAAGAAGCCTGTTGAGCTTCTTGTCCCCCCCCAAAAAAAATTTACACTAAGTCTACATTCAACTACTGTACTGAAGCCCCATCACATGGCAAATTTGTACCCATTATGCAGCTACAGTATCAAATCACAACAGCCACATTGAGGCTGTGGGAAGGAGGAAGGTGCTCCATCAAGCACAGGCTGAGCCCTTTTCTGCGTGTAGCGAGAGAAGCCCTGTGGATAGAAAAAGGAAAAATGGGCTGGATGAGATCCTATGATGGGACTTGGGCTCAACCTTTGATATAATCTAGCTCACGGGGCTGGTCCTGAGAGACAGTACAGTACCAGGCAGTCTGAAGACTGTCTCCCAGTCCACTCTCTAAACGCTGGGAGGAGTGAGGAAGCAGACAGGCACCCCTTTCACTGGCCAACAGTTAACTGAAAGTTCATATTTTGCACTTTCCCTGCCTCCCACGTGTTTTTTTTTTCCAGTTCTTAACTCAAATCTAAGTACTTAAGTCAAGTCAATATTTTCCTATGAGAACGGTTCTTAAGTCAAAATGTTCTTAACTCAAGCCGTTCTTAAGTCAAGACCCCACTGTACTGTACTGAAGCCCCATCACATGGCAAATTTGTACCCATTATGCAGCTATCAAATCACAGCAGCCACATTGAGGCTGTGGGAAGGAGGGAGGTGCTCCATCAAGCACAGGCTGAGTCCTTTTCTGCGTGTAGCGAGAGAAGCCCTGTGGATAGAAAAAGGAAAAATGGGCTGGATGAGATCCT